TCCTCCCCCCACACTGCGGCCACCACCACAGCCACCCCCGTGTCCCCACACGGTGCCAGCTGGCTGTCCCTTCCCCAGGGACCTACTGACACCCCGCACCTCCCAGGCAGCCTGCCCGACAAGGGTGTCCAGGGAGCTGCCTGGGGCCACCAGTCACGCCAGCCGGCCACCTGGGCCCCAGAGGTGCTCCAGCGTCAACTGGCGGAAAGGCCCTGCCCCCCACACCTACACCCTCTTCCATGACACCGTGTGGCTCTCCTGTCCAGAGATGGCCATCAGGCTTTGGCCACGGAGATGGGCTCTTGAGGACCAGTTTCCTGGCAGGGGAGAGTGGACAGGAGAGGGAGGGGAGACCCTGCCAACTGATAACAGCTGGATTGGGGGGAGAAAGTCCCCCTATGTTTGCCTGGCACCCTGGCGCCCTGGCGCCCTGTTCCAAATGCCCCTACCCTGACCAGTTGCCAGCTGATGTCGCGACGGCCACGTGGGGAGGACATGCTAAGGAGGGGCTCTGGCAAGCCTGCGCCTTGGGTCCCCAGGGTGTGGCAGGGAGGCATGTGCGTGTGTGCCGGTGGAGGGGACCCTGCCCAGCAGCTGTCCAGGGGGGCAGGGAGGAGCTGGCAAAGGTGCAGCTGACCTTGACGGCTGGCGAGCTTGATGGCTGGGGACCAAGCACCTCTGGGAAACAAAGGGGACTTGGTGTGACCAGAGATTGGGGTATGAAGTAAGTAGCGGGGGCCAGGGGGAGGAGGCGGGAAGGCGGTGCCCGGGCTCCTGGTGGAGGGCAGGACTCACCCTGCCCAGCTGGCTGAGCTCTGGAGAGACTGGAGCCCTGGCCCTCCTGCCCGGCACACCCTAGCCTCCCCTGGGAGAGGTCCAAGGACCTCAAGATGAGCTCAGAACCTCGGGCACGAGTCCACCCTTGGGACGGCCTCCCAGCTCCGGGGCCATTCCCCCGCACGGCCAGGCCCGGGAGGTGCTGCCGTCCCCAGGGGCGTGATCAGTGGCTCACTCCCG